GGCCATGGACATGCCAATCCAGCGGTGCACTGCAATCTCTGAGGCAAAGAATGAACACATTCGCCCACCATTTTCCTGCTCAGAGCAAAATTTTGCATGTTTGTGTTCCATAATATTTTGATCGCTATATGTAAACCTCTCTGAAATCTCTTTAAATTATGTTCAGGTTTTTTTTACTTGCATTTTGCTCACATTCTATTTTAAATATCTGTGATACAGCATTACTGCCAGACAGTTGAAATAGAGATTACTGAACAATTCTTACCAACTCAATAATCTGTAAGATTTAGGAGCCTACACTGACAGCTTTTTCTTTGCCCTTTGCATCCATCCCAAGGCTCCAGGTATCTGCTCCATCTGCAATAATGTCTGTGATAATGAGCACGAGCGAGCCATAATTACACATTACAGATCCACTGGTTAAATCTAAGTCTAAGACTAAAGCAAAATAACCATAAAGAATCTCTGTGCTTATGTGTAATTCAAACGTTTAATTATTCTACTGTTTCTAACGCATTGTAAATTATGGATGGTAGACGCATTAAAAACAGTTCACATAGCCTAACAATTAAAACTTCTTCATTAAAAACTCCCCAGGATCTTCCATTTCTGCTACTCTACATCTGGAGTCGAAGCTCAAAACAACAGTAACTGGAATGACTAATGAACGGATTGAGTTTCTTGTATTGAGCCAGTTCAGGAGTAAAAAAAATCTTGATTACAATACAAGTGACATTATAAGATACATGAACTACTGATAAGCTTTAAATTATTATTTTTGGGCAATTCCTTTCTAGTTTTGGATCAGAAAATGAATCAAATTTATAATATCAAACTTAATTAAACAAATACCTTACTAAATAAAACATGTCCAAAGAACCAGGTTCATTTTTATGTGAAATTATGTAGTGACTTTTGACAGAGTATTTAGCAGCAGATGTAAGTGATACTGGTTTGTAAATAGATCCAATAATTTCAAAAAAATATTGTATTACATTTACTGGGTGCTATTAATGCACTTAAAAAGTCTGATTCAGAACTAATTTGTTAGATGAGTGGGCTGTTTTATGTGCGTTACACAGACATCAGTCTCACAGATTTCAGAGCTTTCTAAATGATGACTGCAAACAAAATCATGAGGGGGAGTGCAGAGTAGTGGATTTTGGCAACATGATGTTTATGCTTACATGTTTTTGTTTGTACTCCTTTAAATCAGAGTTGAGAGAATTTTGCCTGTAGGTTTAATACTCTATAATTCATCTGCTCTCTATCCTAATTATGTGTTTTGTTTGTTTGTTCTGTTTTTATTTCACAGTTGTGTGCTTAAATTGGTGGTTATTTTCTTTTTTCAATGTCCATTTATCAAGTGATCTGAGTACAGTAACATTAATTTAATAACAAAATGGCTTAATGTGTGCATAAGGATACGTCGAGCACAAGCTAAATTGATCAAATTAGATTTCACAAAGTTTACTCTGAAACTTACTTCCACCCACTAACATAAAATGCCAAAGGCTGAAGGCTGTCACTGCTGACTGCAAAATGTGTTTCTTTCCTGCTACGCAATCAAGCTGTTCGTTCTACTGTGTCATTTGTGTCGTATGTTACATTTTATATATTTTATATGATATATGATATTTAATATATATTTATATATTTAATATTTTAATATCCAGAACTCCTCTATGGAGTATTCAATGTTATAGGTTAGTTTCAATCAATTCATCCTCCTCCTCAACAGCATTAACAGAACTCCATGTGGACTTGTTTGTAAGTGTTGTTTTGAGAAAATACAACAGCTTTTATATATAAAAAAAAAGCTCCAAAAAGCACTCCTAACCTTTAAAATCAATCATTGCTGGGAAACCGGGCCCTGCAAGGTCTTAAGATTTAACTACATTTGCTTATGTAGCACTGGCTCATAGATTACTGTGAGGTTTTTTCTCTTTTTTTATATCAAAAAACTATAATGCTGACTGAAACTGCTACATCCCTGATTACCATCCATCTGTTAATATTTCTTTTTGGGGGTTGTTGTTTTTTTTTTAATTTGTTTTCATCATAGTGAAACTAAGGAAAATTTTCCAACTTACAAAGACAGTCTTTATGTTGTTCTTAAAAAAAGGAAAAAGGGACGTTATCAGATACCCAGAAGTATGCATGCTGTATTTCTGTAATTTAGATGAAAGCCGCAACCTATATATAACTATTAATACTTTCCTGTATTACTTCAAATAAATCATTTTTCAATATTCTGCTTGCAAAACGACAACTGGAGACTTGTAATAATTTAATAATTCATGTCATTTTGTCATTTTGATTCTTGAAGTTCTTTTGAACGGTCTTAACATTTTAGAAAACAAGGCACAAGTAATATTATTGTCAAATCTTGAATAAAGCCTCGTGGAAAGACCACCTACTGTCAAGGTCGGCATTTAAAATGTTGCACTGAATGGGGTTCTTTTCAATAGCGTTAGAAGATACTTTGGAGCTCAGAACACGAAAGTGTCAAACACCTTTTAGATACTGTTTGCCTTTGTCAACAGAATGACTCGTATTGTACAGCTAGTAGGAAAACAGTGTGAGGCTTTTTAAGTCTGACAGAGACTTACTCAAAACGAGTTAACCTGGGTCCACTGAGTTCACGTATTAGAGAGTGCCACAGCAGGTAACATATCGCTCATACACAGGACATAAAATCATTATCCTGCCAAGAAGCAGGTCAATGATCAAAGACCACTGCTGTCACTGTTAATAGTTTGCTGACAGGCAAACAACACTAACAAAAGAGAAGGCCGCTGATTAAGGACAAAAATGATGCAGTGTGCTGAAAAACTACAAATATTTAAGCTAGTAAGTCATGTTTAATGGATGAGGCCTTCTTTGAGGTGCTGCTTCTAAAATTAGCATTTTACATTGTATCTTACCTGTAAAATACTACTAATGGAATGAAATTAATACAATTTTATTTCATGCTTTATTTAATTGTTTATTTCTTTTATTTTTGGAGCTTCTGAAAGCCAAGGCAGTTAGAGTTCATCTGTCTCTGCGCACCAAATTGTGTAAGCATATCCATAGCCTTTTTGGATATGCTAGCCTATTTGTATTTATAGACAGCAGGACGGAAGGTGTGAGATATGTACAGCTCATTATTCATTAATTGTTATGCAGTAAATACCAGTTGAACAAATAGCATAAATTTCTGACCTGCCACAGAATGAAATGCTTTCAGTAGCCAACAGTTCATGACATTTTAAAATCCCACATTCATATACTGTAACACTGTAAATTTGTTTTGCCTCTAATCATCCATCTCTATTCTTTCGAGATTCCAATGAATTCATGAACATTGTCCCCTGATGTCAGTACAAGATATGTAATGTGGTTCAAAGGTAGTGTAAATTTGCTGGACCACTGAGTACGTTTTCTAATTGTTAATTAAACAGTCAACATTTAAGGATGTTGACTGTTGACTGAAACTGTTTTAATGAATTTTCTCTTATAATTCTTCTACTGTATGAATTTGGGTTTTAAAAATAGCGTTTGACTGGTTGCCAAAAGCCAAAAACCAAACTACTTGATTAGGCTCTTGATTGGCTTAAACACTTTTAAAGTTGTTATTGACTTTGAGTATGGGATAGCCTAAAGCCCTGTTCACCAATAATCTATTTGGTAATCACTTGTTTTGAAGTTGATATGATTCCTTGTTGCTAATTGGTAATCCAATACATTACAGTTACTTTAGCTGTAGTCCCAACAAGTGAATTTCAACGAGTATAGACAACAATAAACTTAACCAAAGAAGAAAAAAAAATTAAACAGTGAATTCAAACCAAATTTAACAAAAAAAAAAAAAACTAAAAAAGACTAAAAAACACTGTGTGAGACAACAAGAGATGAATGGTAGCTATGCATTTGCCAGTTTTTCAAACCAAGCTTTGTGGACTTTTTTTTACCTTTTTTGCATATTGTAGGAACATTTGTGCCCAGCATCAAATATCGCTATAACTGGTGTAGCAACTCCAAAGGACACTTGCGCGTATCTCAGAGATGCCAGCATCTCTGACAAAATCACAGTATTTAAAGTCTCTGGGAATGAGAATGGGTTGTTTCTGAAGATAGTGAGTGGGTAGGCCTACACAAAGCTCACTGAATACATTTGCCAACTGTGAGTGCATCTGCTAAGTTAAATCTGTTTTAAATCATATGCACCCACAGTTTACTCACTGCACTTGTATTTATGCGGTGCTAGCTGCTCCACCCTCAGCAGGCAAGCTGGCATCGACCTTGAGGCGATGCGCTTGATCTTTGCGCACGCCTCACCTCTTAATGATAAAATGAGAAAACTGGGTCGGAGATGTACATCCCCACCAGAAATAGTGGGAAGTTAACATCTTCAGCTGAGAACAAGGCTTCCAACTGGGAAATCATCTCTAAATAAATCAAATGAGTTTCACAAATAGGTGAGGAGCCTATGGGAGGCCCAGGTTTGCTCCTGGGAGGAATGAACAAGTCTGGATGATTAACTGAGAAATGAATGACCTGCTCATGTATCCACTAGAAACCTACTTGAGCAATCAAATAACTCTAAATTAAATGATTTTTGGTGTGTTGAGTCCATTATGGAGACAGATGTTGCTTTTCATGAGAATTTATTATCTCTTTTCAAGAGGTTTTAGTCATCCCTCAAAGCCAGATATGAAACGTTTTCATTTTCTTCAACCTGTAGACAATGAATGTTCTGATTTCACCATCCTGCATACAATAAGTAGAAAAATGAATAAAATCATATTGGATTTGAAAGAAAAGACACCATCACTATGCGCACAATGTCCACCAAATTGAGTCAACGTGAACATGTTGCAGCTGTTTCACAATGCCACCAATGTTGATTTAAGCTACAGAGTTTGAAAAAAAGAAGAAGAAGAATGGTAGATATAAAGTTAGATAAGAAAATCCAAACTATGCATATATGCTAGAAAGAATATAATTCAACTTACCAGAGTTGGGATCGGAGTTTCCATCAGCTTCAGTCCTCTTATCAGGGGAGGCCTGCTCGTAGAAGTCGTCCTGCGCCTGCACCAGAGGGAGAGGTTGTGTGAGGAGGGAGCCACTGCCTACAGGCTCGTGGTCCCCCAGACCGCTGTCACTGCAGCTCTCCTGGGAGCCATCCGGCAGGTGAAACGTGACGCGCCGCTGTGACTAGAACCAAGAGCACAAAACAGAGCCTCTGATGTTAGTGCTCTGCTCTGCCCCCTTAATTTAATTTTTTTTTCTTTTTTATTTACAGTTTTATTTGACACTGAGCTGAACAAGCTCAAGCATGCTGCTTTTGCACACTGAGTGCTGATCAGGACTGCAGTGTGAATTCATTTTGCCCGAACAATGTAAAATGTAATATATATCATCACCGCCGACTGAGAAGAATTGTCGAATAAAACGTCTATTTTGACTTAAGCCCAGATATTGATGGGAAAATAGTTTGCACACTGTAAATACAGTCACGTTTCACTGCACAATGACAACCATTAACTGCATGCAAATAAACAAGGAGCACTATAAGAAAAATTCATCAAAGTGAAAAGTGTAAAAACTTTTGAAAAAACAAACAAACTGTGTTTTCATTAAAGTATTACATAACTGCAAAGGGACAATAAAATAATGGAGGCAAAATTCTATCATGTTTGTCAATTCTACTGCGGGGACTTTTACAGGCTGATTGTTTAGTTTGTGTTGTTAATTTGTTTGGTGCTAGCAAAGTCAAAGGGGCCTGTGGAGCTAACAGAAGTCACCCCCAGGGTGCCCTTCCTATCACATTCTGCAGTCTCACAAGGAAAGGAAAACACAAGTTTTCCTGGGACTATGTCTTGCACATACACACAAACACATATACACTCACACACATGCCATCCTTAAAGCCATCCTGATTGAATTTCCAATTGTTAATTCTGAGTGTCTTTTCCCTTGCTCTAATGACATTTTCCTCAGGCTTTTTCATAAGTCCAGACGCAAGCCTCCAGCTAACCTTTCGTGAGCACAGAGAGGTCCCTGCCACATCCTTGGTGATGACAGACAGAGACGGGTTTTACTGTAATTATTGGCAAAAGCAAAGGTCACCCAATCTGCAGTCTAATGCAAATGACCTCATTATATATTTTAGAACTGCTCCAAACATTCAATTAAACAAAAAGGAAGAATAAAGAAAGGGAATAAAGGGGGAGGGGGGGG